CAACTGCGATCACCGAAAAGTGGGATGAGCCGATACGGGCAATATCGGAGGCGAAATTTAACTCATCAAAGTTATCTTCCGGGGCTGGTTGAAGAAGATACGGTCCTTGGAGTAGAGGGTGTGTGACGTCAGCCATAGTGGGCCTCGACAGAAGATATCCAGCAGGCTCCTCGTCAAACTCATTGCGCTTAAGCGTCAGGTTTTGAACCCTGATTAGGCGGGATATTTCGTGAATCCAAAAGCAAATCTGCCTCGAGTTATACTTCTCGAGGTCTGAGATTGCAGGGTCTCCTGAATCTCTAACCGTCCGATGTGCTGTTAGTTCATAATTTAACTCGTCCAAGAAATCGGAGTCCAGCATCCTATAAAATAGTTAGGTGATATATTCTTAGGCAATACAGAGTATCTATATAAGTAATTACTTACCACTTTGAGGGGAGAAATGGGCAAATGGAATATATTTCGCCGTTTTTCATGAGGATGTATAATGTAAAAATAGACCAAATTGATCCGACCCCGCCGAAGCACATAGAGCTGGGCTCGATATCATCAATCAGATAGCTACTATTTCTGTTGATTCCGAGCATTTGTTTTAGGTCATGTGTTTCGGTGGGTTCAATCTTCGCACTATCGAAGTTGAATTCAACCTCATAGACACTATTATAAGTTAGCTAATCCCTTTCCTTACTAATTAAAAACTGAGGCACTTACTGGATCATAGCGTCTTCTGTAAGCACAATGACACAAGGCTGGGCGCCTAAAGGGTGGAAAATAGCTTTCGCAATGCGAGACGGTGCTTCTGTCGTTCCAGGTTCGAGCTTGAACCATCTTGTTATCCCGGTTAGTATGCTATCGCATCGATTCATATAGCACTTCAAAGGGAGCCTACTTGAGAATGATGCTCGTCCGTTCATCCAGGGTCATAACCCCAGTTGCAGGGAGAAGAGCGACTCCGACGTCATACTCTCCGACAATTATCGCAGTCTCACCGTCCGCACTTCTAACAAGTTGTGATATGTCGAAGTCCAGCTCTGGGAGCTCTAGGGTCTGGTGATTGGTACCCGTTAGCATCGACTCGTCACATCCCCCAAAAAATACTAAATCAAACTCCTACCTGATAGCCATCGCCATCAATCTGCCCCCCCTTCTCTGAGGCAGACTTTAGGTCCTTCAAGTCTGCGCATCTAATGTCCTTCCCATGTGCGACAAAAAGTTCCGTCTCCCGCAAGAAGAGTGCTCTCTTTTGGCTCGAAAATAGCTTCTTCGTTAACTTCCTATTATCGAAACCAGATTTCGATGGCGATTCACTCAGTAACCGTGAGACGAGCGAATTTTCACGTAGCCATTCTGGCAGCACCGGCGACGGGACTGGGACTGGCATTGGTCTAGTTGGGTGTTGTTCTACGCGTTAGGGAGCGTCGAGGGTTTAGGGATATATATGGGCCAAAGCTGCCGAAAACAACGGGTGGTGAGTGTCGGTGGTGGTTGTAGAATTACTGAAGTGCCCCTGTCGCCTGCCAGTCGCACGACGCCTAAAGCTGTGTAGTGGCCGTAGGATCGCTTGGGGAGGCGAGGAGATACCAATCGGCTATGAGTGGGGGTGGAGTTGATGTTTAGATGTGACGTTGATGGAGGTTTGAAGAAATGGCTGGGCTGGCGGCTTTTTTGTCGCATCGCATTTTCGTTGACAGGGAAAACGCGTCTTCCCCAGAACTTGCTGCCGACAAGTGTTGAAAACCACCATCACAACGACGATTTCCGACTTCGAGGAAAAACAGCATTAACGGCAACAGGCAGCAGATAGATATGTCGCATCATCAGCAGCACCAGAGTACCGTCGAGCGGTTGGATAGACCGAGTACATACTACGACAAGTCAAGTGTACGATTCAACGAAACCGAAACTACATAGAACGATGGGACCTATGCTGACGAGCTGCCTGGATCAACCACAGAAACGAAATAGGGACGATGCAGGACACAAGGAAGACCCGTTAAAGGATGCAACGACGCTATACGTTGGTAATCTGTAATATTTCCTCTAAGCATATGGCCCGGTACAATGCATTCTCTTTCTCACACAAAAACTCGCTATAGATCATTCTACACAACGGAGGAGCAAATCCACGAACTATTCTCAAAGTACGACCATCTTCTCTATGACACGATAGTTCCCCTATGCTGACTGCATCGGTTACAGATGTGGAGAGATTAAAAGGCTAGTTATGGGCTTGGACCGGTTTGCTAAGACGCCCTGCGGCTTCTGTTTTGTCGAATACTACACACACGAGGACGCGCTAGACTGTATGAAGTACATCGGTGGCACGAAACTCGACGAGCGAATTGTACGAACAGATCTAGACCCTGGCTTCAAAGAAGGGAGGCAGTACGGCCGTGGCAAGAGCGGTGGGCAGGTGAGAGACGAGTACCGAGAGGACTACGATGCAGGGAGAGGTGGGTACGGTAGAAGTCTCCAGGGAAAGGAAATGGGATCCGAATACGACTAGAAGCCCGACTTTCCCGCATCCTCCGGGAGTGGGTGGGAAGAAAAGTGCTCCATTCCTCCTGGCTTGGTCGAGAACTATGCTGCAGGTTTTCGGGGTTCTGTGCAATTGCAGGCTTCAAACTCCAGTAGCTCGAAGGATCAGCCCCAGAAGCCAGGTTGTGGCCTTCTCTCGTTGCCTTTCATACATCTCGATCCTTCCGATCCGATTGCATCTCTTACAAAAAAACCCACCATTTCGGTATGACAGATACACATTTTCCTTGGCTCAAGAAACGTATTAGGGGTGGGTTTGTATAACAGGCGTCAATATCCTTTAATGATTACTATGAATTAGTACCTCCTTTCTCAGCCTATGGTATAATCCTAACGAGACTTATATTCGCTAAAGCTGTTCCACAGAGCCGGCATGTATTAATACTCTATAGTAAATCGGCAATAACACAAAGCTGTCCAACCGATTATCAAAAAGAATAGTAACAAAAATATGGCACAGTCCAATGGGACGAAGCTGAGTGGAGATTGCCGCTTTTCGCAATGACGCCGGCCTACATGTGACCGTTCTACGATTGGTTCAAGCCGTCCAAGGTCCAATCGACGAGGAAGACAAAGAGGGGATGCGGAAGGGGTCTGAAAAGTGGCGTAAGGGTGGGTTTTAGGTTATCTACATTAATTCCGTGTGATCGGTTATGGGAAAGTAGAGTATTGTCTCTCTCAGGTGCACTCACATGTGCACATCGCGTATTGAGAGTGACCCATTGGATAACCATCATGCATGTGTGACCCCCTTCCCCTCCTGCGTAACCCGGCTACCAGTTGGGAGCTTGCCGACAACGTAGCTTCATGCTGGGAAACGTCTCACAGAGGAGATAGAACCACAATCGAAAGCAAACAGCCCGCAGGAATACGAACTGCGGGAGCCTTGGATAAGGGGAGCCTCTACAAAGCTGTGTATTCAATACCTTATCCGGGCTTCATACGACAACAGTAGGTATCCCCCCTCCGTGTGGCGGGGCATGAGACGGGACGGAAACCGGTATAATTTGACTCGGTACTAGTCTAACTTGACACTTGTATCCCACTTCAGCTGGCCTTGGTTCAGTGACACAACGTTAGGGAGCAGTCTCAACCAAACGTCTACCCGTTTCTTCGGGAGGTCGAACGAGCCTGGTCCTCTACTCTCGGCACAGCCCTCCATAATCCAACATTTTTATGCATGAACTGTCATCCTGCTCTCGTACAAGTCGGCTCGTGTAACTGTCGTAGGGAAAGACATCTGTGCATTATATCACTAAAGATACTGTTCTAGCTTGGGACGAGTAGTTACTCATAATTATAATTATACTACCAGATCGAATAGAAGCACGCCAGATAAGCAGACATATTCCCAGCACGGCGAGTAAGCCGTATAATAGCACAAGATATATGTTACCCAAATTTGGCCGCAAAATCGAGCAGCTCCTGCCCTGTCTACTGCGCACTGCACACACACTTACATACATTAAGTAAGTATATAGCACCGAATCGATGCGTCACAGCCGGCGCCCATTGGCTGCAAGATGTTTGGCCCCCGTTTGGTGTGGTATCACCCGCGGGGCCGCTCAGAGCTCTCGACCTCGACTGAGCTATATTATCAGCGATTATATCTCACAAATAGCCAACCGGTGACATAAATCCGACAAGGCGAGCGCCGGTGCATGGCGTTTCCGGCTGATTGTCAAGCTAACTTTCCCTCTTAACTGCCCTCCTTCCCTTCCTTGCCCAAATATTAATGCAATCTCGGATCCAACGCGGTGCTGTGCAGGCTCGCTTCCGCAGGATACTCCTGCAACCATGCGAGTGAGGCTGGTCATTGGCTAATTGTTGGGATTGCCCATGTCTATGCAAAGTCAAAAAGCCGTGCTTTCTTCGACGTACGATGCAGAAACGAGCTGGTCTTGTGTGTTTGTTTCACCCGGCTGAGGTACATACGTGCATATCTGGGTACATACGCACCCTTTTTGACAATTAAACTCAGCTCAGCTGGCCGTATTCGATTTACTTTAGCCTTGAATTCGCTGCAGGCCTGAGAAAACAAGAAAGGGCGGGAATCGGATCCTTAGCCTAGCCTGGTCTAGGTCTGGGGGAAACTCGAGAAGTCTCTTGGCACACGGGAATCCTCATCATACATTACATGTGCATACATATGCGATGTATAGTGCGTATTCGGTGATGTATAGAACTGATTTATAGTCGCTACTTAAATGCCGAAGTACCTATGTAGTTGGAGGTATACTAGCACCTCGAAAGAATGGTCATCTTGAAATCACTCTCTTAAGGCCTTGGCTACTCAAGTGGTGGCATATCAGCAGAAAGTCAGGTTACACTTGGTATCCAGCTTGCCCAGATACCGAGGTATTTATACCTAAAATAGTAGCAGCGAATAAAACCTAATCAACCTGATAAACCTAATCCGCGCCCCGTTTGGGGCACGAAAGAACACATACAACAACACAGTTGCCCGGTTAGCTCAATCGGTAGAGCGCAAGACTCTTAAGCTTCAAAGGAAGTGGATAGATACTGGTCCTGTTACCATAGCAATCTTGAGGCTGCGGGTTCGACCCCCGCATCGGGCTCCACTGACGGCTCTTTCGACCTGTTATACCTGTTGCTTTGTTTTTGAGGATTTTCACTTCGTCTTCTTCTCTTTTTTTTTTTGGCACTCAAGATTAATGTGAATTTTTATGGTTACACACGGACATGTGCAGTTCCCATCCCATGCCCATGGCCACGGGTATCAGTCCCCGTTGTGCGTGTGTGATATATCACGGCAAACATTCACATGGGTGTATTATAAACCTTCAATTGGAGTTAACACTTCTCTTTTTCAGCCTAGGCCAAATACCGTCCGCTAGAACACACATCGTGTCGACGGTTAAGAAGGTTCTTGCCCACATTCTCTCAGAGGTCGCTCTCGAACCAGATGCCCGATACTAGCATGACTAACGCAATGCATGAAGAATTCCGAACATGATTAAGCTTTCCCATTGGGAAACTCCCGCGTGTTGTAAGGGACTGCAGATACCCTCGAAAGATACGACCGGTCGACCTCACTCGTGAACCTAAGCACCATAGGCCGTCAAGAAGGTGAGTTAGCGACAGACGGTACTCAAGACGGCATGATAGGACGCTTCCATAAGTGATAAATTAGAACGGCTCCACTTTGGAGATTCTCAACCCGGTCCCGTCATATCCAATTGTAAGGTCGTCAGCGAGCCCAAGAAAATTTAAACCCAGCCAGAGATAGTGTTTTTCGGGCCGTCATGTGTAGCTAGGCCAGTAGACCAATAAGCAACCTCAGAAAGATTTTATAATCGATAACTGGTGTGAAAATCCTTTAACCTAATCGAGTACGTAGTCCCGACAGAAATACGCTCTCCACTAAAAGTTAATATAATGTTCAATTGAAGGTAATTGGTTCACCCTATGAAACTTCGGGAGCCCAGACACAGCTCACTTTCAAAAGTACGAATATAGGATCTTCGCGGTCTCATAAACCAGCCTCAAGATCTTCGTAAAACGGACGAGTCGTACAAACTTTGAAAGATCTGACCGCATCAAGTCGAATAGCGTTAGCCCCATGATTAGGCAAATAATTTTTTTCCATTTGGGCGCACGGGTGATGACTGCACCTACATCGATGCCAACCCCGATGGAACACTTGATCCAGAAGGCTTCATTGCAGGCTTGAGCGCGGAAGATGACCGATTTGTCTTTTCTTTCTTTCTTTCTTGTGGTAATTATAATCCGGTAACCCGTACGAGGAAGGCAGCCGCTCTCCTGATTCCGAATCTCCCGTAGATCAAGAAAGATTACACTGTGGGAAGGATGTGGTGAAAAGAATAACTAGGTGAGGGGGGCGATGGACCAAACCCTCTGCCTCAAAGATTTAACTTCGCTCTCCATCATTCTCAGTGGTAATATGATTTCTCAGCATCTCTCCGGAGTACAGAAGACGCTGTACAACATCTCCAAGAAAAGGTAAACTAATAGTTCCAGGACATTTTAACGAGATTGAAAGTATCGCCGAGTACCTCCCTGCAAACGAACCCGGAAAGGTAACCGTCAGCGATCTCCGAATGATCCTGGTCTGAGTTATGCAATTAGCTTTGTCAAGACGCACAGTTATACTCACGAAACAATTAGCTATTGCACTATCCCTCGCTCCAGGCATTTTCCTCAGACCGCTTGCCTTTGGTGAGGTAATACCAACCAAGGCGCTTGGAGACGACTAGGACATGATTCGAAGTAAGGGGAAAGGAATACCATTGGATTATAAATCAATTGAAGGCATATCGTAAGACTAAAAAGAGTATTGACCTGAGCGGAAATTATATCTGCTGTCAGAAGCCTTTCGTTCGGTTAGAGCAGTAAGTGGCATTTTGACACCATGGGACATACTATGGGATAAAGAGAGTGAGCAGCTAGTCTTGACCTTTGAGACAGTCTGGAAGGAGTATGAAGGCCGCCCTGCAGACCGACGGGAAGTTACGCATGCAAATCCTCGGGTTTGAGTGGTTCAAAGAGTGTCTCGAAACAAAAAAGATCAGGGACTTTATGCGGAGTTAGTCAGAAATTGGGGCAAGGGGGAAAATAATTGGGTTTCTAAGCGCGATCCGTAGATAGACCCAAAAATTTTTGACATGTAGGTACATGCAACATGTGCATACATCTATACCCCTTCAAAGCTAGCTCTTCCCACATCGAAGGTCCAAATTCCAACGGTTCAAATTCCTTTCCGAAGAGCGGGAGCTGACTGGCTAAAAAGGCTCAAGTGGATAACTCGGCTCCACATAAAAATGTCTTGCTATCAAAAAACCCCAAAGCTGAGAATTTTCATTAAAAAGCATTAAAGCCGAAGGAGAAAAAATGAGGCTAAGCTCCACGTGTGCATGGGAGCCGTCGCTGCCGTAATCAAACCAGATGGTCCGAGTCCCATCACTTGACACGATGGTGCTTCAAGCGGATTCCTCAGGTTGTCCTCTTTTTAGCAGGTGACGATACTCCTTTCCTCCCTTTCATCCCTAAGAGAGATCCCTGGTGCAATTCGATAAGCCCTATTTTCAGAACTGATATGCCATAGATGGCCTGTACTCACCAAGTCGTCTGCTCGACCCGAGAACGAAAGGAGCTGCAGATTCCCTGTTGCCTGAATTTTAGTTGGTTTCGGCCAGGATGCCGCTGGTTCGGTCGTTTGGCAGGTTTGTGTCATGACAGCAAGGGCTGGTTTAAGCGAATCAGCCCCAGCTCCTTCTGCTGGTCCCGGCAAATTGGTCGCACCTTCGGGAAGGGCACATTGTTCGTGCAACTCCGGGAACGTCGCCGGGACTGGCTTGTTGGATGGATGGATGGGATTATGTGTGCCGAGTTCTTGAAGCGAAAAAAATCCGACATGGATAACCGTTCCCGAGAGTCTCGACACACTAGACCGGGAAACCCTGACAGATGCGTCGACATGGGAATCCCTTCTCGGATTCTGCTTGCTTAGCTGTCTGGAATGCTTGGTACCATAGGAGAACCTTGGGATGGTCATGTCGGTGCGACATCGAAGAGAACTGGCATATCTGGCCAAGCAAGTACTTGTAATAAACCATAACCGACGTCGATGGCCGATTCCTTGCAAGCTTGCTGGGTAGGCGAAAGGAATTGCTGGAATCTCCACATTTTTTATAGACGCACGCCACGCTACTACAGCAAATTAAACCCGTCAAATAAAAATAGTAGCCCTTTCTGATCCTGGTCCGCAGTAAGTGTCAGTCAGCCGTCTGCCGAATAATACGTCGGTCTCGACCTTCTATCATATTAATTTGCCATCGCTTCGGCCAGGTTAGTCGCAGTTGGCTTGTATATCCGTCGGTACATAGTCATATCCATACTTTTTGCGTGTGTGTGTGTGCGGCCCGTGCAAGAAAAACAAGTTATTGGGGGAGGGTGGTTGTTTTGCAAGCATTCCCGTGGATGATGAAACCGATCTGGCATCGGAATGAGGGCGGCCATTTTACTCTTTGACAGGAAGCAAGCGAGGAAAAAAAATAAATAAAAAAACATTCGATCGATACAGGGCTCGAGCGCAGACAATTAATTGACAGCGAACATTGGCATGGACGCCATGGACTTTCTGTAGGCGAGACGCTGCTAAGAATAATCAGCAGACAACGGCCGCTAAGGTGCTATGACATGACCCCATAAATGCACGTCGTCCTGAGCCCTTTTATCTCCTCGGCCAATGTTTCCGTCCGTTTAACGTTCGGCCCTCGACTGGACCTTCCGGAATGCACCATGATGGGAAACCTGTTGGAGAAACTGTGTTGCTGCGCCCCGACAGCGCCTTTTATTAGTTCCGAAACCTGTCAGGGAAGGTTCTCAAGTAGAGTCAAAGAAGCTGGGACGTTAGACATAGAACCGCTTGATCACAGGGTGGGCGGCTTTATCGTGGAGCCAGTAATATTAAATAATACTAGGATCTGAGGATATCATATTGTGTGTTTGTGGATAAGAAGGTTTGCGTACATACAAAAAAAAAATCCTGTACTTGTGTGTGCGGAGAACAAGGGAAAACGCCCCTGACAGTAACAACTTTTTGCCTTGAATAAATGGAAAAGAGAAAAAATTAAGAGCTGAGAGGAGGGTATGGTAAGGTATTGGTAAGCTTCATTATATTTTGGGCGGGAAATAGTTGGGTGATAGCCGCGTAGATAGAAAGGGAAAAAAAAGAACACAACCAAACAAATCGAAGATTGCTCCGCTGAAAAGAGATACATTTACATCGCCGCCCGCTCCAAAAGATGCCTGAATAAACGCCGCAATAATGCCCATAAAATAACGATATATCCGTAACAAGAAAGAAAGGAAAGGATAAAAATAAAAAAGGAACCTTTCTTTTGTTTTGAGGCTAAGAACAGCATGAAATATCATAATGATAGTATCAAAATGGAAATAAACGAAAAGAAAAGAAAAACTCCGATGTGTTTTAAGGAGCCCCGCTTACGCTGGGGCGGATATCTGTTGGTCTCAGGTAGGCAAGGTGCGCTTTCGAGTCCATGTCATTGCGTGCGGAATTATTTGGAGGGTTGTAGGCTGGAAGCCTTCGTCGCCGAGCATTAATAAACCAGTTGCTAATCTACATCAAACACCATTAGCACAATGTCTACCTCAAATTAGAGATTAGTAAGAATAATTACCTGGTTCATTGTAAGTCCAGTCTGGCTCACAAGCTCGAGCTTCTGATCCTCGGTAGGATAAGGGTGATGAAGATGAGCGTGAAGCCAGTTTCGTAGAAGATCTGTAACCTGCTTTGGAAGATTGCCTCTTCGTCGCTTGCCGCCTCTGAGTTGATCATATGGGTCTGGGTGTTCCATTTGAGATGGATGCGGCAACTGGCTACTAGAGAATGGCGATCGATCTTGTGAAGGACCCGTCATTCTGGAACCAGAATACATCGATCCTGGGTATGGAAGAGAGTGGTTGGGAGAAGTCGGACTGAGTTTGTGTTGCATGATGTTGTGGTTTTGGTGGCTACCGTGAAGCACTTCACCCAGTGATCCGGATTGGTATTGTCTATCCTTCTCGAAAGGTG